TAAAGATATAAAGATATAAAGATATAAAGTCTTTTATTTTGAGAGGGTAGCACGTAATAGTCTCTAGACTAATAAACTTGTGGCCCTCTATATATTCACTCACACTCACTACATCAACATTCATTATTTTACTACACGACACTCCTCACAGCTAGTTTTTGACTGAGGGAGGAAAACCAGCGGACCTGGAGAAAAACCCTCGGAGCAAGGAAGAGAACCAGCTTACAAACTCAAATCACATATAGTCCCGGACCGGGAATCGAACCAGGACCAYAGCGGTRATAGACCGGCGTTTTAACCGCTCGGCCATCCTTGCTCCACACAAAAGCACAGGGATCCCAAATACTTACATTTTCCACAAGTCATCGGGCATTCTTGAACTGCTTTGTCATCTTTCCATACTTCACAGTATTTTATCAGCTCTTCTCCTTTTGCTGGTATATTACTGCAGTCGTCTCGTAGATCTTTACATTCCTTGTCATCATGTAAGATCTCATCATCTGAAAAAATATATTTCTTTTACTGAAATGGCATATAGTTCAAGAAAGTAAAGCAAAACCCTTGATGGAAATAGCATTAAAGAAGTTAAAGTAAGAAAAGAAAAATGCCCCTTACCAAAATCAATGCACAAAYAAAATACGAACAGCTCAAAAATAGACAAACCATATGCTAATTGAAATAAAACACAGAGCTGTGATGTTTGTACATCATACTCGAAGGCAGTATGGTTATTACTTTCAGATATAGCTTCTAAGTGCGTTTCAATCCATGAGGTGGGTGGGTGAATGTTGGGGGGGGGGGGAGATGTCACTTCCATATTCAGTAAGCCTCTTATAAGTTATGTCATTCAAAAAAAATAGATATGAAACCATGTGTGTTAATTGAACTAMTGAATCGAACTTGCTTACATTTAATTTGTTTACCGTTGTTGTCTGCTTTTGGAAGCAGAGTGTAGTATATATATTCAATAATCACTACTATAGAGATTTCTAAAGCATTTATATCGGCTTTGATTTTCAACACATGAAAAATTGGCTAGAATTATCGGATGGGTTTGACCAAAGCATCAAATGAGTTTTGGCGCCAAGTCGTTTTAGTACAATCATTTCACCCAAATCCCTATACCCATGGGGTATTGCTCTATAAACAATAAACTTRTAATTATGTTCACTCTATGCACTTATAAGCAAAATCTTATTCAAAATAAAACAATTTAAATTCAATTTAGAACTATATAAAGGTTTGGCGGYAGTTTCAAAGCAAAATATTTGCATTCACAGCATTTAGGCTACTACACAACTTACACACGGGATTGCTGTCAGCTCGTCTCGATAAACTGACACCTGGATTCTCAAACAATCGAACACAAAACTCTACACTTATTATAATGATTTGGCGCCGATTTTTGTACATGCAATTAGTTCACTATCAGTTTAATAGCTTTGTGTCTGTTCAACATCGSTGAAGCATATAAAGAGCTCATTTCATAAGCACACAGCGTGACCAGTATTTCAACGGTTTTATCCGTTGATGGAATATTCTACGACTAGAAAACTATGCAAACATTCATCAAAATAATCTTTACTCAAACACTCTGACAGTCCACCGTAAATGCACTTTTTTACTACAAATGACAACATCTATTTAAAAGAATACCATCTTGAAAGGTTGCTGGTAGATCGGAGCTGTTTGAATAGAAAGTCGTTATTTTTTACGCGCGAATAACATTTGCAGCGTCCTTGTCCGTAGGGTATCCCAAACATCACGCATTTCAAGAATTATTTCTTTTAAATAGATACACGACAAAAAGCAAATAATTCTTTTACCAATGTAACTTGTTTAAAGTTATCCGATATTAATCCAAACATAACATTACCAAACGAGTTTCTATGGCAATATCTATAATTTCCACTTTGCGTACTGTACTTTTATCCTTTTAAAGCCGTAATATTGCAGTTAATATTCAAGCGATTCACTTTTAGCAAAGAATGGCAGGCGTGCCGGAAAAATCACTCTGAAACTACGACTTAGGAATGACTGTATTCTAAGTGAAACTGAGTTGARGAGGCAAAGCTTGAGAAAATCTCACTTTAATGRCATYGTACTGAAGTAAGATTGCATGTACTAGCTGCAAATCACCTAAACGCTCAACCAAATCCTCCATTATTTAAAACACGAGAAATTGCAATTAAATGTGAAAGATTTTCGCTTCCTTTATATTATCTAACCATGCTGCTACAGCAATTCTTTGAATTTCCGTTATAAGATAAAAAAAAAACATTTCAACGCTGTACTTTTTTTGTATAGTGTATTTTCTTTTTTCTGTCTTTTTCTGTGCTTTGGTAACGTTGTAGATCGTCAAAAAAAWTTGAAAGGTCAAATTTGAAAACTCAAACTGCCAAATGATAAAAACATTATTTGAAAGAACCTAATCTTTAAGGTACAACACTACTATCCCTACCTAAATCAAGGAGCTGGTAAACTGGGCTTCCAGATGCGTCATCCAGCAGGACAAGAAAAACTGCGCAAACTGCTAAAAGTTTTGCAAACATATTCATGCTTTGAAGGAGGTGTTTCACTGCTCGAGTGTTAACGACCGATTAAGCGGGAATTCAAACTGAAGAGCTCAAATAAAGACAATGGTATTCATATGCAAATGTTCCAATAAGCTACAAATACATCGACATGTAAGTAGGCGGAGATGTATTGTAACTCTTGAATTTTGCAAAATTTAGATTCAAATTCAAGCCAAATCTAAACAAGGCTCAGTAAGATAGGTTGAGGTTAACTTCCAAGAGAATGTACAAGAAAATTGTTTAGTGCTTATTCAATGCTTGTAACGTTAAAAACGAACATAATAACAGAAGGATTTAACTCCTTTCAAAATTATCATTGGATTACAATCTTTTTGCCTTCCTTGAGTGGGTACATTTTGTACAAGGCTTTACAATTGAGAAACAGTTGATCTTGTGAGTGAGAATTGTTATCCATATGGTTTGTGCGCTATGTGTACAGAGTGATGCAGAGCAAAACGGCTTTTATTGGCCAGTACAAAGTACGCACAAAACACAAAAAGCAATGCAAATAAGCAAATATAGATCTATTTATAATGAGTACGTGTAATAGTACGAAGTCCGATTGATCCAAAAGCGTGATGTATTTCATTATTTTAAGTTTTTTTCCTTCTAACATCTCGGCGTCCTTAAGTAAATCTTTACTGAACCGATAAACATACGGTAATCCATCCTTTTTTGCTTAAATATGTATGCATATCGTTACTGCTAAGTTCGTATCAGCAGATCTACGTCAGATATGCCATATGTACTATGGCCACTATGATTACTAAACGCCTGTCAACAGACTTTCGATTTAAATACGCGGTCCGTCGCACCCCTACTAGACGTAACAAGACGGACAAGATATGATTAATAAAAACACACTTAACGTAAAGACAAACGTAAGGKTCTAGTCCTGAAGTGCGCATGTCAATTTACCCATGATTCATTTCAGTTTTAGTCAAGTACTGCTGAAACCGAACAATGACAGGTTTAGATACCTAAATGAAGACTATTTTTCYCTAAGGTTGTATGCACGCTGAAATTATTAAAGAAAAACTGTGCTGAAACCACGACCACGCAKTCAGTTCAGTAAGAAACCATTTTTTTCTTAATTTTTTAATTCGAAAACTTTTGTAGCTCGAAAAGTGTATTGTAGTAAAAGTGTATYCGTGAAGTCCTTCGTATGTTAGAAATTTTGCAGTAGATTAAAACTATGATCATCTTGCYTCAAGGCGCATACGGCGGATAAAAAATTGGACTATTTCATTGCGTGAGACAGAGAAGTTTTCTTAAGTGGCTTGTATATACATTATGTCTTCTCCTGTTTAAACACAAGTAACAGTTTCTAAAGCGTTTTAAAGCTTTTAAAAAGAATGATGGCCTCAACCACATCATATATGTATTAAGATTTCAATGGAGGTTATAGACATTTCATGATATCACGTGCTTCTTACTGTTGGCTGACGCCGATCGACGAAAGCTCGGTTAATTGCTACTTATGAAGATCCATTAATCACGTTAAAATCGGGGTCAAAATTCAAAGTTTGTATTTTACGTGGTACTTTTGGTTTTCATCTGGGTTTAACGTATCTGACCTACAACTTCGTACTGTACATCATGATATGCAATCCCCCCCCCCAACGGAAATGTTTTTCGTTACGCTGTTACGCGCCTGCAGTTTTGTGGTATCACTTTAAACCGTAACTGAGGCAATCATATATCTTCAAGAAATATTCGATAAAGAACAGTGTACTAGATAACATAGTAGCCGCACAAACATGGATAAGAGAAGTGATCTGAGTGATACATGGAGTTCTAGATAAGTAGTTGTCATTATTTTGCTATATTCAAAGATGACTCAAAGGTTCTTCGCATACATTTTTCTGTCTTATAACGTTTAGTTCTAGATAAATATTGGATTTTTGCCTTATATTTATTCCAAGCTATCCTGGAAAAAGAACAAAGACATTCAGCTGTCCTCGTGAGATTGAGGTTGCTGTTGATTGCTGAGTCGTGAATCGAAAAGGTACCCGAATACGAAAATTAGCAGGTTGAATTACGGAATATAGTATATCAAATTTGRAAATTTTAAAAACATCAAAATGTACAGAGTTGTATATGTCAAAACTAATGTGAAAACCAAATGTAGAACGTAAATACAAACTTTGAATTTTGACCCCAATTGTACGCCATACACTTCTACTTCCCTACAATACTTTTAAGTAAGTTAAAATTTCATGTTGCGCCATTTCAATTTTATCTTAACTTTTCTTTTCTTTTCTTGTTGTTGTTGGATTTCTCGAATAAAATACCTTTTACAATTATGCTAAAAACACAACTTGTGCCAATTATCCATAGACTCGGGTTCAGTATTCTTCATTACGTAAAAAATTACAATATACTTTTAATATTCTTTTTTGACAAAACAAGTTTGTAACTATAATTAGATAAATCTCCAAATTAAAATCCTTGGAATGAAACGAGATAAAATTATTTAGGTTAGGCCCTGCATGACGACCGTGAAGGAATAAAGTATCTTTGAGCATTTTGAACCTAAGAATAGAAGCAGTCMATTGTTCTTTTCCGTCATCTGCTCGTCTTCCGATCCATTAAAGTGTCGTGGTTAATTCAGTATAAAGCTAATGCACTTTATTAATTACAGTTAATGATTATTTGTTGGTCGCTGTCATTCTTAAGTACTTGAAAGTCATCGTCGGGTTTGTTTCATGCATTGATCTTCCTGTCATACTTAAGGCTCGGCAAGAGAGCCATATAATATGTTGTAAAAGTGAAACTCTACAAAAGCACCGAAGGGAGACACTAGAACAAGGGGGTATCATAATCACCTCAGTGAAGGCACGTGAACTCTGCAGTGTCAATTTTCCTTTACTTTGTATCTTTTTATTATTTATTWAACCATACAATTGACTTACAGAGAATATATACCACAAGCAGAGTTTGTGTTCAATTATCACCAATATCAAAGAACCTTTGTTCAACCTCTGTTTAACCACACAATTAAATTGGTAAAAATATATGTGCACAACTGGAAGCATCGAAGAACTTGGTCTCTGACATGAGAGAACATCTACACAGCTTAATCGCATATACCACCTCCAAACATCTTTCATGCTAATAATATATAGACTGTCTTGTGCGATAATCAAGTAATAACTAAAAATAGCTCAAAACTCTCGATCAAGGGGGGTAGGGATGTGAAAGAAAATGGTATATCGTTTGCATGAACACCATTCACGCGTTTCCTTTATTCACGCAGAGCAAAATACCCTCTGTTGGGGCACAATTATTTGGAATTATATGGCTTATGTTATTACACGTATAAAACGATTAAAGGATTAAGAGACTAGTTCTGATTTACCATAGATATGTACCGCTCCGGGCAATATAACATGGTCAGGTATTTAAAAACGCGAAAAAATATGATAACTATAAATGTAATTACACTATCAAAATACAGTGTATTTCATGAGTTTGTAGATCTACAACTAGTTTATTTAGTTACCTCTCGCATTAATTTAACATCCTGAGTATGGGATGCCTGTGTAGGTGCATGATCACTGAATTCGGTATATACCTCCAATCAAGCAGCATTACTCGAAGCCCTTGAAAAAAAACTAAAGTTTATTATCGCTATAGCTGATATTTACAAAGTATCCCATAATCAATCACGGTCTCAACTGRATCTGATCATGCTCGAATAACTGGGACGGAAAAGTCTTATCTGCACTATATTGAGTGATCTCGAGTGCACTTCCTAACGACGCGACCAAGGAGGTTATTTACATCAAAACAAACATGAGTAATGTCTCGTTGTATTAATAGCGTGAACTTCCGCGAAACGTTTGAGAGTRAATTCCTTGAAGGTCATGTTGTAATGATGTATCAATGCTTGTAGGTCAATTGTGGTCGGTTTGTGAACATATACAATTAATATGCAAAGCCCAAGTCACACCCATAAAGCGCTTAAATTATTCCATTTCCTCTCTATTTTCTTTYGAGCTAACGATGCGATGACTCTGGTCTTTTCAATGAGAGCATTGAGCAATAAGGGAATTTCACCGTAATACAGCATCCACCGTGTACAATTTTATTAAGAAAACAGACGTGATTTCGATTACTGGATAATACAAGCTGAGGGCAGCGAAGTACAAACAGCCACAGCATGAGATCATTTTTGTTGTGCATGATACTCTATAATAAGAAATGTAACAAAAGGATATAGGAAGAAAATAACTTATAATGATCTCATAGAAAATRAGGTTTTTGATTACTGCACTTTCCCATGTGCATATATGCAGTTTTGGCGAGAGGTATTTAGAGGCTCCTGATTGGTAGTRCCGTATTCTCAATCACACGCTATTCACTGACCAACTAAGAACCYATTTTCTTTCCAAATTGTCTTTAAGTTCCTGTTTAGATTAATCCATTATGAAAGGAGCTTCTAAAATATTGTGTAATCGATAAAACACTTTCTGTAGTGCGCTGGATTCATCTAAACTGGAAGAGTTATAGACTTCAAAAGAAYTGTGAGTTATTTGTTGCTTCATCGCATTTTTTKTGTCACCAAAGGAGAAACAAAATGARAGCATGACTATATGCATTCCAGTCCAATCAATATTTCATATTACGATTAATTGGCTTTTCATCCTWAACTAACTTCTTATTTACTTTGTATAAGCCGAAGAGGAAACTGGTTCGCTGATATGTAAATTATGTTGTTTTTCTCAATATCTGTTTTCCAGTAAAAATGAAGCGATTTCTATTTCAAGTATTTGTTTGCATTAATAGGAATTGTCTTTGTTTACAATAAATGTCTAAAGTCCGACCTCTAGGATGCTTTGTTCGACAAAAGACGATTATATAACATATAACAACTAGATCAGTACAAAAAAGTCGAAGGGGGGGTAGTGAAAGGAAGAATTGTGTCAACACATTGCATGAAGATCCAGGCTTCCTGCTTAGCAATATCTAAAGGTTTTTCCAAATGCTGCGATAAAGTAATTAATGTTTATACAATTGTACGGGCTGTTAGCTAAAGGTATTTCAAAGGCCTGGGGGTTATTKTATGTGACGGCCAGCTGTAGCGTTACGTCAGGGTTCGAGGACTTTGCATAAGTTGTGCTTAGAGTTTTGCAGACGACAGTGAAGAGGCTAACTTATAGTCAAAGTTAGAGTTGTCAGTGGATTCTAGAACATCTGAAGTTTGTTATGTCAGACTTAACGTACGAGCTTGCTAAGCAAGAAGACGGGCAAGAGAATGATTCCAAAGCGGAGGTTGCTCATCGTCGGCCAAAGAAATCCCTAACGCCCCGCCAGAAAACATGGATCATAATCATCGCAGCAGCCRTCATATTTATCGCGTTGATGCTGTTGATTGGGATCATTGTGCTCGGCGTTCAAGTCTCCAAGCTGAAATCAAAGATAAAGGATATGAAAGATTCAACGCCGTGCACCACGGTTGATTGCATCAATACTGTCTCAGGTATATAACCCTCACCATCATAGACCGTTTAACACCTAAAGAATGCTTCTACAATCGTGTTTGTACATTCTGTGYGAGTATTTGTGTTTGTCTCTGTGTTGAGTAGTTTATTTTTGTACATCCTGAAATGTCAAATTTAGCATTCAGAGCGCATCAACCCTGTGTGACACTAGTGTTGTTGAATAATTAAATCTAGAATAAATAAATATAGGTTACTTTAGTGCTTTCTAGTATATTAGCGAGGTTGTATGATCACTATGTTGGTTTAWCTGCAGAAGGAAAACTCATTACTCAGATAGAGTATGTAAGATCAAATGACTTATAAAAATATCAAAATTAGAATATAGCACTGATAGGTCAAAACAAAAGAGCGGCGGCCGGTACATCGCTTCATTGAAGTGCTCTTAGTCTATTTTCTATAAAAGTCAGTAGCCATCATTATTCGAGATTTGGGAATATTAGATGACATCTGAAACTGTGAWTGAGCTCATCTGATTTTGCGGTACCAAAACAGGTGGTTATAAATCTYTCTCCTCTTTTGCGGTTCCAACCATAACAAAACCATGTAAAAATTATCTTGTTAACCGCATTCACCAAAACATCAGTTTTSTAGACAAGAAGTAAACCATACAAAGTCTAATTGACTCCAATACGCAGGAGCAATATGTTCAGACAAAAACTGAGATGTTAAGATGTTACCAATTATCATMGAAAAATGATAAGTGGTTGATTGCTTGATGAATGACTTCCGAATCAAGTCAGCTTCAAAACGGATTTAGCTAGGGATTTCAGATATAAAGTCAACTGAGTTGTGACACTTTGCTAATATACGTAATGAATGTAAATTGTCTTCATTAAAGTAAAACGTGGGATCAATGATCTTTTTTACATCTTTTCATGATTCCAGTCAGTTACAGTAACACGGTTTGAGCAAGAATAACTGTCTATGCATCTAAGTGATATAAAATTCCGGCGCATCATAACACCAATTAAACTATGTCCTTTTTTATTAAGAAGACGTGAAGTCTCTGAAAAGTCTCTTTTTGATTTAGTGTTCGTTTTTTTCCCCACACCGTCCCTGTCTGTTGGATCGCATATTTAGTAATTTCAAAATCTCCTTTATGCAGACTTATAAGTCTCGATTGCACTTAAAAGTTCATTGTCTTCTTTACACACCGAGTTTTTGCATTACAATACGGCTTTTACTGAATAAGAGAATATATTACTTTTTAGACATATTGATTGCTTTGACATAAAATTTCATCTTAAAGTCATTTGGTTTAAACTAAAAAATTCACTSCTCTACGCGCATAAACTGCAAGTTTTAGGTGCGTAAAGGACTAAAGATTTTAGTTTTAACCAAAATCTATGACTTTAATAAATAACATATATTACACGTTTTCGAAAAAATAGTCTGCGTAAATGTGATGTTGAAATTGAAGTATTACTCTGGTATCAGTTTGTATAACGTTTGATTATTTTTTATGTTGTGGCTGTTATTATTATATTTTGTTGTTTGTTTCAATTATATTTTTATTTGCATGTACTTAAGACATTTTCCCACAATTTTTTGCTTGGCACATCTCCCTGAAATATTCATGTCTTCATGATTGAAATATCATCATTTGTAAAATACTCCCAATTAAAGAKGATCATAGGAAAATATGACAATCAGCCACACAACTAATTTCCCCTAATGTACTTTCTAGAATTAACTCAAAGAGAGAATCTGACTAAGCTAAAGTGACAAGTTTTCTTCATGCGCGTTGAACAATATAATGCGGCACAATATGTAGCGAGCGGTAAGGCTTTGCTCATTTTACATAAAGTTTCTATTTTAGTCGTGTATAATTCGGTAACACGGTACGTGCGTTTAAGTCGTATTTGAGTTCCTTATGAATTATCTTATATTGTAAGCCGGTTATACTCGCCACCAACGTGAAACTATACATTCTTTGCTGCACATTCCAGTTTTTCTGAGTTTAGCTGAGGTTGTATTTAATTCAAAGATGTCGAATATAACAATTTCATACGCGGCTCATTTTCAAACAAGCACCATGAACTGTAGTGTCAGGAACTGCTAGTAGGCAGGAATCCCACTATATGTCATTTCAATCGGCAAAAGGAAAAATAGCTATCATAAGCAGGATGATGAGCTCAGTCATGGTTCGAAAACGTTTCTGAATAATTTTGTGCCTTTCTCCTATGATAATCCCACTATGATACTAAGGAATCTGCCTCAACTTCATCATTCAACAAAAAAAATTACTGGTCTTAATTATGATTAAAATCATGATTATTGAAAATCTGAACGTAATGCACAGAAAAGCTGCTTGTMAAAAACGCCGCAGGACAAAAACTGAATGGCACGAAAGTGGTAATGTGTTCTTCCTCCCGTTTGATATGCTGAAAGTGGCCAAATCGTGATCTGCGCTTTTTCCCACAAAGCATCAGTAGGAAACCGAGACATTGGCCTGCTACATTCGTTTCCCTCTGAAAAAATACTTCCTATAAAAAGAGTAGATCTAGAGAACTCTAAAATAGTCATTAGAAATTACTTTGTCAAGAATGCTGTCTATATACTCATCAAAAAAACATGAGTGCGAATCAGAGTAGGAATAAACGTATTATTCTTATTCTCTATTAGAACTTGTAGAATTCTACAGGAAAATCTTGATAATCACATTTATCATATAATTATCTATGAAATACCTATATTTCTCCATTTCGTAAAGTTGATAYTTTCACTAGTGAAAATAACACATTCGAGGATTGGCTAAATAATGCAAGTAAGAAAAAAAGGTATTTTACGACATATTTTGCTTTCAAATAAAATTATATGATAAATAAAATATTACATGTTCGCTTGGGGATACGAATTTTATCTTCTCGTGTTGAAAATCTCTCACTCGTTCGCTACGCTCACTCGTGAGATATGTTTTCAACACTCGAAGATAAAATCCGTATCGCCGCGCGCCCATGTAATATCCTCTATATGTCACATAATCACAGTGTTTTTGCACCATTATTCTTTCACAGTCCCTGGAGCTTAGAAATCTTGCTAATATAGTTCTATTCGGGATACCATCTTTTTTGTTCCAGTTCGATTGACTCGTCTCTGGAATTATTGCATTTATTTCCAATTCGCTAATGAACTCCAAGAGTACTTCCTCAGTGTCTTCGTGTTCATCTTCTCGTATTCCAACAAATTTGAGATTTTATTTTCAACAATATGTCATCAGTGAATAAAGACAGACTCTTTGTCTACTAACGTAACGGTAAGCTGGACACAGGAGAAAAACGTACTGCGCTCGCTCTCGGAAGACGTATGAAACTAGAGAGCCAGCTGATCTGAGAAAAAATGTTAGCCAATCAGAATCGAGAAAATTTGCAAAACTGAATTGTCACCCTTGGTAGCCTGGCTTTCAAAATGGCGGACTTACGTGCTCGACGGGGAAAAGTTTATTGTTTATTCTTCTTTGTCCTTGGGGTGATTTTCCCTTCGCTTTCGTTTCACGTTACCATTTTGAATACAAAAAAGTCAGTGACCTCGATACAAAATCGCAGTTATATATTATATAAGAAAAAAGTGAAAATTCTAATATTTCCTTACCACAGTGTCATATTGGTTTTATTTTCGACAACCTATTGTGAAAATATACTTTTTGTATGAAAAAGAAATATGTATTTGCTTTTCATTTGTATGATTTCTTCGACATTTTTTTTGTTTGTGGCTTACGCATGCGCAGTGTGTTTTTCAGCGGTGTCCATGGTAATTCAACTCTTCTGAAATGAGGAGTTTAGATGGCAAATATCTAGGGATTCCGTTCACCTGAATTTAAGAAAAATCGCTTGTCTGTAGGAAAACGACATTTTCTTGCTTCTTGTTCAATTCAATAAGAATATTTTTCCATCCCTAAGCTACTTCCGGTTTATGTCGTAAGCATGTATTGAGTAGTGTCGTTTGAAGGCGTCCTCGAAAACCCATAGTTGAGTTTCGGTCACTCGTTCCTCACATGTATCTGAGATAGCAAATCATTAGGGAAGAAATGATCACCCCTGTGTTCCGTTTCCCTGTGTTCCGCTTTCCCATTATGATTTAACACTAGAAATGTTTGGTCGTAGATTTGATGGCTGCAGTTGATCCATCGGTTGATCCATGTGAAGATTTCCATAAGTATGCTTGTGGAAAATGGCCCGAAAAGAACCCGATTCCTGTCAATGAGAAAAGCTGGGCTCCACTTAACAAACTACGAGTTGTTAATGAAGAAACGATACAAAGATTAATACAAAGAAAATATACCAGGACTCGTTACTCACGGGTAAGAGTACAAAAAAATTGTCTGTCAGACACTTACGACACAACAGTCATTTTACTGGTGTAAATTCTCGCGCGCTGATTGGCTGATAGTATTAAAGTGTTATCGACATTGTGCTGACACCATCACGTCTCTCGCGCGCGCTCAATTGAAAAGAAAAGAATGATTTTCGCTTATTTTAAGACTAAAAATGCGGTAAAAAAAACATTGCAAACGGATTTTCGTTGTATTTCCCTTATTGACAAAATCTTGACGTCATAAAATGCTCGCTGTGCTCGTGCGTCCAATTGCGTTTTGAACATTTTATGTCGTCAAGAGTGTGTCAATAAGAGGAAAAATGCAACTCAAAACCGTGCGCAATTTGGTTAATATAAGCATAGGAAGAAGCATAAGCTAATTTAACTAAACGACTAACAGAGAAAAACAGATTTTTTTCTTGTAATCACTAATGCGATTCAGGATTCAATGTTTTGAGATCGCTAGAGGAGTACAAATGCTTCGGATTCGAGTTTTTCCGTTCCCATAACTACATTACAGTGCAGTGTATCAAATTAGAAATAACAATGAAAGTTATCAATGATAGTTTATATTTTATTTAGAATGTAGCACTACGAAAAGTTTTTACTTTCTATGACGCGTGTATGGATGAGGATGCTGTGGACAAGCTTGGAAGTCGGCCATTGATGGACATGTTAAACACGTTTGGATCGTGTCCCTACTTTGATTCGTCGTGGAATGAAAGTACATGGAATTTTGTCGACGCACTCAGCGTTATCAACAGGAATTATTCTGTATCTCCTTTCTTCTTACTCTGGATAAACGTGTTACAAAGCAATACATCTGTTCCGACAATCATGGTCAGTATTTCATTGTTAGATACATGTTCCAGTATATCATGCTCTATTAAAATACTCCATTTATGAAATCTCTTTCACGAAGCATTAGCCTGGATATTTTGTATTACAATAGCSGTCAGATATGTTAAATAGAGGATATTAAATGGATGCCCAGATATATGAATTGTATTTTCGAGTATTGAAAAGATCTCTCACGGTTAAGCATAGAGAACGAGTGAGAGATTTCGAACACGAGAAGATAAAATTTGTATCGATCTTCAAGAGAGCATACAATATTCTGTTTATCTTTTAATTATATATGAAAGCAAATTATGTAGTAAGATACTTCCAACCCTAAATATGTATAACAACT